TAGTATGGAGATACCTCAAGGAACTAAAAGTAGACCGACCATTTGATCCAGTAATTCCACTACTAGGTATCTACCCAAAGGAAGAAAAGTCATTTTATCTTAAAAGGTACATACACTTGAATGTTTATAGAAGCATGATTCACAAAGACGTGGAAACAACCCAACTGCCCATCGATGAATAAATGTATTAAGAAAATGTAATATACATATATCATGGAGTACTACTCAGCCAGAAAAAGTGATGATCTGGTATCTTTTATAAGATTTGGATGGAACGGGAGATGAATCTTCTAAGTAAAATCTTGCATGAAGGTGGCACCTGTGGCTCAAAGGAGTAGAGCGCAGGCCCCATATGCGAGAGGTGGCGGGTTCAAACCCAGCTCTGGCTGAAAACTGCAAAAATAAATAATAATAATTAAAAAAAAAATCTTGCATGAATGAGAAAACAAATGCCACATGTACTCATTACTAAATTGGAACCAAAGGATCAACCTATGTGCACACATGGAAGTAACACTCAACTAAAGTAAAGCAGGTGTGGGGGAGAGGGGTGGGTAAATTCACACCTAACAGGTACAATGCACACTATCTGGGGAAGAGCACGCTTATAACTTAGACTCAATCCATACAGAGTGAACTATGTAATCAAAACTGTATATCCTGGGAATACTTATTTATTTATTTATGGAAAGTGTCTTGGCCTGTCACCCATGCTGGAGTACAGTGGCATGGTAAGAACTTACTGCAGCCTAGAACTCCTGGGCTCAAGCCATTCTCTTGCCTCAGCCTCCCAAGTAGCTGGGAGTACAGGCACGAACCACAACACCTGGCAAAATGGGGTTGTCTTATATTTCTGATTTGTAGTGATACTTTTTATATCCTGGATAGAAATGCTTTGTCCGATATGTGTATTGAGAGTCTTTTCTTTCATTCTACAGTTTGCCTTTCATTCTTCTTAAAGATGTCTTCTTAAGAGCAGATTTGAATTTCAATTAAATCTAATTTTCCAATTTTTGATTTTTCATTTAGTGTTTTCTTGTGACTGCTTTAAGAAATCCTTGCTCCCCTAGGGTCACAGACATATTTTTTCTATGTTTTGTCCTAGAAGCTTCATGATGCTGGCTTTTACATTTGATTTTATGATTTCATTTTAAATGAATTTGTGTGTGTGCACACTGTAGGGGCCCAGGTTCAATTTTTCCTTATGCGTATTCAGCTGTTTCAGGGCCATTTGTTAAGAAGGCTTCTCTTTCCTCATTGAACAGCCTTGGGATCTTTGTCAAAAATCAATTGACTCTATGTATGTGGGTCTATTATCTGGACTCTAGTCTGTTCTATCAGACTATTTGTCTACTGCTGGAAGGTTTTGGGTAGGTGCGTGTGAATGTTGTGATCTAATTTATATTTTAAGTAGATCAATCAGGGTGGAAAATAGAAGAGGGTAAAAGTGGAAGGAGAAGGACCAGTTTGAAGGCTACTCTAATCATCCAGGCATGAATCAATGGTGTTTGGATTAGGTAGCCCGAGTGGAAACCATGACAGGTGGCAGATTTGGAAGATGCTCTGAGGCTGAGCTACTAGGAATGGAAGATGGGTTGGATATGGACTATGAGAAAAGAGTGGGAAGAGTGTATGGCTCCAAGGTTGCTGGTCTAATCAAAGGGAAGAATAGGGTGGTGCCTGTGGCTCAAGGAGTTGGGCGCCAGCTCCATATGCTGGAGGTGGCGTGTTCAAACCCAGCCCCAGCCAAAAACTGCATTAAAAAAAAAGGGAAGAATGTAGTTGCCATCTACTGACATGGGTTCCATGATAACCAGGCCACCTGTGTCCAGATCACAAGAAAGGCACAAACCCAACAGGACAGAAATTCAGAAGAGGCACATTTAGCTGGAAGGATTAGGAAAGAGTCAGGGAAGGTTTCCTGAAGGGGTTGGGATTTGAGCTGGGAAAAGCATCCCTGTAAAGGCTCCTTACAGGGAGTCATGCCCTGACCCTCACTGGCCTGAACTTCAATGTCCTTATCAGATGATAAGAGTCTGTTCCCAGAGGTCATGTCATCCATCCTACTATCTTACCCAAAGTACAGGGGACCCTGATTGGCAAAGGGCGTATATTCGCAACCTCTGGGCTCACAGAACTCTCCCCGGTCATACCTACTGACTCATTGTGTCCTCACTACAGCCCAGTGCAGTGAGCTGTAGAGCACATCAGTGAAGAACACAGAATCTGAGCCCAGACAGAGTACTTTATCTATAAGATGGAAATAACAATAGTATGTCTCATTGGTCTCATAGGATTGTTTCATGATGTCATTGAGATCTGGTAGGGAAAATATCTTGTAGAAAATGTGGCTCCGAACATGTGCTCAATCCGTGTACGCAGTTACATTATTCTCCCCATTTAGCTAGGCAAAAACTATCTCAGGTCTCACTAACTGACATTTGGGGAAGGACAGCCAGCTGGCCCAGGGATCTCTTTACTCACCCACTGGGATTGGCCTCTTTACTTTGGTGGACCTTCTGTGTTCCCAAGTCCCCACATCCCCGAAGTGCACAGGCAGTGGGCCCTTCTTTCCCTTGCTCTGATGATGAGTTAAGGGTGTCTAAAGAGATGGCTCCAGTTAAAGGAGATTCTGGGATCAGAGACAGGGCAGGCAAGTGCTTTAGTGTGGCTTGGGGTAGAGGTTATGGGGGGTAAAATAGGCCACCAGCTGCATGCCCCCTCATCATTAGGAGTTATGAGCTATGAGCTCAACATTCACCAGCTGATTTGAAGTCCTTGTCTGGTCCTTCGTCTTTCTCATCCTCAGTGGGGTGAGACAGGGGAGCCATCCCCCTGGAAGCCTGCACTTCCACAAGGGAGGCAGCATGTGGCTTTCATGGGAAAAGCAGCCAGATGAAGGGTAGAGGTTGCCCTCCCTGGGCAGGAAGGAACAAGGAGGTTTGGATGGTCCAGAGACAGGAGTGAAAGGTTGGCAAGGAGGGTGGGTTCAGAGAGAAGTCTGAGCAGGCTCTGGGTTGAGAAGCCTCCACATCTTGCCCAGTATCTGGCTTTAGGGGGTGCTTGAGATGTCTCTATGGAATGACTGCAGGGGTGGGCACCCAGGACAGAGGAATGCCATGAGGAGGCCCAGTGAGAGTCAAGAGCAGACTCTGGTGTCACACTGCATGCCTTTGAATCCTTTGCCACTGACCTTAAGCCACTTACTCAACCTCCCTGGGCCTCAGTTTCTTCATCTGTGATATGGATATTGATAGTGCCCACCTCACTGGGTTCTCATGAGGACTCACAAGTGGATACAAGAAAAGCAATAGCCTGTGGTATACAGGAGGTGTTCAGTAAATCTTAGACCTTATTATCATGGGTGAGTGGCCTGTGGGAATCAAAGGGCTATTTTAATGAGTGTTCAGGGAGGAACTAGCCCCACAGGCAGCTAAGGCACTGGGTTCTGGGGAAGGTGAGTTCAGTGACTGGCATTATGGGGAGAGAGAAGGTCCCAAGAAACTTGGCTTAAAATCCTGGCTCTGCTACATGTAAGTTAGTGATTCAGGGCAAGGGACTCCACCACCCCGAGCCTCACTTTGCTCTTCTGTAAAATGGGACTATGTGGTAAACGTGTACTTATGAGGATTGAGTGAGATAATCCTTGCAAATGCTACTGGCATGTAGTAGGTACTACTTTCCCTTTGTCTTTGGTGTTGGGGGGCTTGCATTTCCTGGTGGTCTAGCTAAAGATAGAGAAGCCCTCTGGGACCCTGACATGGGCTGCAGACCCAGCTTGTGTCACTGCTCTCATCCCCTGGTCATGAACAACTTGGGTCAGGAGCTGTAGGTGGTTCCCTGCAGCCCCTGACCACTGCAGGAATCTCAGAAGAGAAGCTCAGGCACTTCTAGGCTCAGGGAAGAGCCTTGGAGGGCTGCAGATTGAGATGCAAAGGAATGCAGGCAGAAGACAGCAGGGCAGATCGTCATGTCCACCTCCTCCCTCATCCACATAGTTGATAAAAACAACTAGCTTCCCATGTCTTACGTATTTCTGAAGAGATTTTCACATCACCCCTTTCCCTGCCCTGAATCACCCAGGAGAAGTACATAGGAGAGGGTGGCAGTCCTTAGGGAACCACTATGAGAGTGCCCCGAGTTGGTGCTCTGTTGGAGGAGGAAGGAGTCAGACAGGGGTTGGGTTCTCAGGCTGAGTTGGCCCTGGACATCTGGTTTCCTGCTTGACCATCTCTCACTATCCACAAATGACAGGGTTTTCATCGTTCATAAAGTTAGGTCAGGGTGACATCCTCTCATGTCTTATGTGTTCCTGACCCAGACCTGGCAGAGCTTCCTATAACCTTCAGTATTCCTGAGGCTGAGCCTACCACCTCCCAGGTTCATGCCCCTTACCTAGCAATGATCCCCTGATCCCTTGGTCTCTTATTCTACCCAGAAAACCTTCTTGTCACCTTCCATATTCCCTGCTGTGATCTAGGAAACCTTCCCTGGCCTTGTTATAACCTCCTGTGTTCCTCTCCTTGACCCAACTAACTTCCCCCAACTTCTCTTGTTTCTGACAGTAACTCAAAAAACCTTGGCCTGTCTGGGACATTTTTGTTGTTGACTCAACAACAACCCTCCCTTAAGAAACCCGACTGGTGTGTTCTGCATGTATAGGGCAAACCTCCCTATGTGTTCAAATTCCTGGTTCCATTTTCAACCTGGAAGACCTCCTCTGTTTCTAACTCTGATTCAGTAAATATGACAATATGACTTTCCATATTCTATATACTAACTCTGCAAACTCTCCTGACCGTCTGTGTTCCTGACCCTACTCAGCAACACCCCTGACCTCCAGGAACTTCCCATATCCTCTGATCCAACTCAGCAAACCTCTTTAAGAAGCCTGGCTCCATCTCTGTGTTGAACCTCCAGTTCACTACACCTCTGTGACTCCAAGGCTCCCGACACCCAGGCCTGCAGGGGCTCTGCTGAAGGGCCCCACTGTGCCTTACCCAGCGTGACCTCTGCCTGCATGGGCATCGACAGCGCCGGGTGCTTGACCTCACAGCTGAAGAGGGCCTCGTTGTCGATCTGCGGGTTGAGGGTCCAGGTGAGGAGGGCGCGCACCTCCACGGTGCCATCACTGCCTGGGGTGCGGCTGTGGCGCAGGAAGTAGATGGGCTCGGCACTGTGGACCCAGCGGGGGAACTCGCGGCTCACAACCGTCTCTGGGATGTTCTCTGTGGTTGGCTGGAGGAGTACACTGGGATCTGGGGTCAGGCTGCGGGAGGGGCGCTCCGTGTAGGGTCGCCCACCCCGGTTTTCAGCGTCCAGGAGGGAAAGTGACTTCTGCATCTTTGTGTCGTCCAGGTCACGGTGCAGGAGGCTGCGGAAGGGCCTGCTGTCCTGGAGGGGGCCAGAGCTCGCAGCCGGGGGCTCTGAGAGGGGCACCGCATCGATGGGTTCTCCATCCCGTTTGAAGTAAACCTGAAATTGCAAAGAGGGTGTGGGAAAGGTCTTGTGCAAATGACCTTGACTTTCCAACAGGGTCCCTAACGAACTGGCCACAGGACACTAGTTCTTCCCTTCCTAGTCGTCTTCTCAGTGGACCTCCCCACCCCATTCCTTTCCCTACAGCATCCCCAAAACTGTGAGCCAGCATGGTACAGTGGGAACGCACATATAGTCCCACGGCAGAGGCTTAGCTCAACCCCATCATTTAACAACCAGTGAGACTTTTTAAGCCTCACTTCCCTCACTTGTACAAAGGAATAAGAACACCTGCTTCATAGAAACAGGGGTGTTGGACTCTGCCATGGTCGTGCCACTCAGGCTCCGGAGGCGGGGGTCCACTTGTAGGACATGTGGATGAGAGAGAAACAGATTATAGATGGGCAGCAGGGAGGAAGTGGGATGTCCAGAGAGGATGAATGAAGGTGTGTGTGTGTATTTGGCACACACAGGTGTGCATGTGGGAGGGGGCTGGGTGCCAGAATGAGGCGAAAGCTAATGTCTCCTTGCTTTCTCTGTTAATGAGGAATTCAAGTTTTCAGAGGCGGCATTTAATTTAATTTGCTGCCTTTTTATTTTGGTACATGCGCCCAGAGGCCTGTGGGGATTGGGTGTATTTTTTTAATAAATCAGATAGATACATCGATAGGAGATGAAGGGAAGAGCAGGAAGCAGCTTTGGGGGATGCAGGGGTTGGGGGTGGAAGAAAGCGGTAGGGAGGAGAGGCTGTGGGCGGGTGTAGGGGCGAGGGAGGTGGGGAGGACGGGGGGGGGGTGCAATGAAATGCAGGCTGCAGAGGCATTGCCAGGGTTTATAACGCCGGTAAAGAATCTCTCATGCACTTAATGGCCTGCTTTGGTTTTTTTTTTTTATCCTCTCTTTCCTTTTTTTTGAAAAGTGCTTTAAAAGCAGATTTGTAATTTATAACAAAGAATTTCTTTAAAGTTCCAATGTCTCAGGCAAACATAAGATGCTTGGGATTTGGGGAGAGGAGGATCTTTTTACACAAACACATGAAATATATACGTGTATACGTTTCTGAATATTTTGTTGACATGTCTCAAATGGCAGCACAGGCGAGCAGGATGGGTAAGAGCGTGTCTTTCTGCAGCCTTGAGGCAGTGAAAAGCCTTCCTTTCCTCTAGCAAATGAGTTTATCTCTGGGGAGAAAAGACCCACTTCCCTGATTTTAGATAGACTGGGCCTCTTTATGAGATTGAAAAGGGAAAATTTGAGGCCATGTCCTGCTTTCAATAATTGGTGGCTTTGAAGCCACTTTTTCCATGTGTTTCCTAAGGACGGTGACTTGCCTTGTGTACCTGCCCACTGCCCACCTATGCAGCTATGCACCTGAGACCCCCGGGCAGCTGGCTCTCTCTGGCCCCAGGTCTTGAGGCAGGACTGCCCTATTTTCCCAAGGTTGCCCCAGGGGCTCAGGGCTGTGAGACAGTCAGATCTGGAACAAAGAGAACACTTTGCCTGCCATCTTTTTTTTGGCTGGGGCCGGGTTTTGAACCCACTACCACTGATATATGGGGCCGGTGCCCTATTCCATGAGCCACAGGCGCCGCCCCATTTTGCCTACCATCTTGAACTATAACCTCACATACCCAATGCTCTAGCTCCACCCGCTTGCTAAATCCTAGTAATGTATGAAATTCATAGGGTCAAAACTAAAGTGTTACAAAATGTCAAAACTGAACGGGTCCTCAGGAGTCTGTGGCCCATAGCTTCCCAGAATGCGTTCCAGAGGTGCTTCAGGAATCAGTAAGAGTGTCCCCTTAACTTTTAAATACTGTATACGTGAGGCTGCTGTGTGTCTCATTTAGACTAAAAGGCCCCCGTTGCTTCTAAAATAGCTGAACAACTCAAATGTTGTCAACTCCTCAGCCCCCTTATGGAAACTGAGAAGCAGAGGTGGGGGAGGCCTGTCTGTTCAGGGTCACTCGGTGGACATGGCAAGGCCAGGACTAAAACTCAGCTCTCCAGACACTCAGGAAGAGCTCTCACGCCCTGCCCCAGCCCTCTAGGCAACCATGAAGTAGATGTGCAGATCTCAAGGAACCTTAGGTGGAGTCTCATACGCAGTTACCTGAAAAAGGAATTCCTTCTCTTTCCTTCCTCCCTTCCTTTCTTCCCTCCCTGCCTCCCTTTCATCCTTTCTGTAGGTGGCTTCCTCCAGACAGTGGGAAGAAGAGTGAACTTGGAGCTTGAGTCCAAGGACTTGAGTCCTAGCGATAGGGAACATCATGGTGATTCCAGACAAGTCCCTTTCCTGGCTGGGCCCCTCTCTTTTGTCTGCCTCTTGCTCAATAACTGGGGTGGGGTGTACTGGGGGCAGGGTCCCCTGAAGGCCATCCCTGCTGTGAAGTTCTAGGATTCCATGTTCAGAAGAAGTGAGGGCTCTTGGCATGGGGACACTGGGAGTAAGAGGGGCACAGGGATGCCAGGATGGGTCAGATGAGTGAATACAGATGGGGTCACGGTCAGTATCAGCAGACCAGACCCTCTCTGCGCACAGTGGTGACACTTGCAGCTGGACAAGTCCCAAGCAGATGGTCCAGCAGATGGGGAGGAGCCGGGGCCACTCCAGGGATACTCACGATGGGCGCCGGCTTCCCTCCAGACACGATGCAGACCAGTGTGAAGTTCTGGGCTTGGTAGCGGCTGAAGGGGGCTGGTGTGTCAGCAGCCACCACTTCGATGGATGTGGGAGGAGCTGCCCAAAGGGAAGCACAGGTAAACAAAGGCTTAACTGGAAAATTCCGGATGAATCCACTAATTACCTGAGATGGGCCAGGTCCCACACTAGGTGCTGGGGGCAGGAAAGGGCGAATGTTGCCCAACCCCAGGGGCGCCCTTGTCATGTCTACAGTGAGGACAATGGCCTATGCTGGGTGTACAGACAAGGGTTTAAAGCCTAGTAGGGAGACACACAGAAATCAGCGTTAAGTGCATCAGATACCAGGAGGTTTCAGTGTGTCAAGGGGACTCTGCCCCAGCCTAGGAGCTCTAGGAAGACGTTGGTGAAGAAGTAGGAACAACAGTAGGCAAAATACAGCATGGCGGGTGGAAGGAACAGCACGTGCAAAGGTCTGGTGGTACGTTGATCAGGGCTGGGGGCAGGCCAGAGAGAGTGTGGTGCCCCATGGGGCTGGGCAGATGGGCAGGGCACAGAGCATGTGGCATGTCGACAGGGAGTTATGACTCTCCGTGGGATGCTGCAGCCAGTTCCGACCAGTGGAGCCGACTGTGACATTTTCAGGAATTTCGTGAACCAGCTGTTAAACTGTTGCTAACTTCAAACAGGTCATGAAAATTAGCAACTGCTACAAATCAGGACTTTTTTTTTCCCCCGCTCCCATTCTCTGTCCCAACCCCCAGAGAACTGGCTTACAACCACACCACAGGTTCTGAGTTTTTCTTCTTATCCTGAGAACAACGGGGAGCCATCGAAGATTTTAAGCAAGAGCAGTGACATGACCCAATTTGTATTTGGAAGAGACTGAAAACCGAGTGTGAATTTAGACTAGAGAGGATGGTAGCTCGGACGTGGGTGGGGTTGGCGGAAAGCCAGATGTGCAGAGAGAGGGGTCCTCCCTCCCTTTCTTTCCTGAAATTGACCTATTTCAGTTTGCCATCTGTCCCATGCTCACCTCTCTTCTAGTCTGGCAAAGCCCGTGCTCCCCAGCCATAAAGCACACTTGGGTCCAAACCCCAGCAAGGCCCATCTACTTGCACAAATTACCAAAGCTGTGAGCCTCAGTTCTCCAGCTTGTTAAATGGGAATAACACATGGCAGGCCTATTTACAGGATGAAACCAGCTAATGGATATCAAAGGGTTTAGCATATGGTAGGAATTCAGTATTGTTATGATTTCTGCGTTATTTCCCCAACCTCCTCATACTCAGCAGGACAGAAGCCAGAATCTTAGAACTGTGCTTGGGAGAGGCTGTCAATTCTGGCTTACCTGGCCTTGGGCCACGGTTGAACCAGGAAGCAGAGAAAATAAAGAGGTGTGGGCCTTTCACTCCAGTTAAGTTTAATTAAATTCAACAAACATTTCCTGACACCTACTAGGTGCCAGGCACGGTGCCAGGTGCTCACGGTAGGTGCCCAGTGATGAAACAGAGAAAAGTGTTGAGAAGCTCACTGTCGGGTGGGGGCGACAGACACACAGGCAACTCTATTTTAAGGCCTAATGAAACGAAGCCAGGTATGAGTCATTCATTCATTCAGGCAGCCGCCACATGCTGTCGGCAAGAGAAACAGAACAAACAGGAAACAATGGGAGAACAATAGGTGGAGAATTGTAATTAAGCGAAAGAGCGCATAAAACAGATGGCTAGTGGGGTAAGATTTCCGAGAAGGGAAAAATACACCAGAACACTTCGATTACCTAGAAGTTGCAGATTCTGCAATCTAACTTTTCCAGAACTCTAACTGAAAACCTGGATTCCAGACAGGAACCAACAAGGGCTAACACTTATCCATCAGGAGCTATGCTAAGCTTTCAGAGAGCGTTTTCTTTTATGCTTCATAAAAGAAAGGTCTAGGAGGTGGGGTCATTCATTCCCATTTGACAGATGGAGAAACTGACAAGTTAACACCGCTTGCGTGGGTTCACGTAGACAGTATGAAGTAGAGCTGGGGATTGGGACCTAGAATGAGCCCAGACTCTGACAGGAAGCTGTGCCACCTCACCCTTCTGGGTCTTTAGACCTAAGTATACTTTAGACCTAAGTATGCATTTCATGTACTTCAGCCCCAGGGAACATTGACTCACCTGGTGCATCTCGACTTACATGGATGCTTGGTAATTCAGTTCCGTTGGGAACTGACGCGTAATTGTGGTGATGCTTATAAATTGTCTGCAATGCAGGTCCCGTGATTTTTAATTAATATTACTTGTATCGCTTCTAATAAGGGAGGGGATAGGAGACAAGGTTTACAAGTGCGGGTTCTAGATAAGACTGTCCATGGTTTAAATACCAGCTGTACCATTCGCTGGTTGCAGTTAATTGGACAAGTTCTTACCCTCGCTAAGCCTCAGTTTCCTTATCACCAGAATGAAATTACAAGGCGGTGCCTGCAAAGTGCTTTGAAAGTGCTCCCCATACATATCAGCTATCCTTCTCAACAGCGTGATTTACTAACTAACACCTTTATTTGTCCTTGCTAAGGACTGGGAGAATGAAACATAGTCTTGGCCTCTGAGGCATTCGCAGTGAGGAGACCCCCAAAATGCCCTAACTTTGCGCTGTTCCACAGCCGCTCATCCCACGCCGCTAGTGAACCCCTGACATGTGGCTTGTTCAAGTTCACATGCAGGAGAAGCGTAAAACGCACACCCGATTTTGAAGACCTAATTTTTAAAAAAGAACGTTAAGAGAGGCCATTGATATTTTTATGTTGATTACATATTGACACGATAATATCTTGGGTATGTTTGGTTTATTATATACAACATTAAAATTGATTTCACGTTATTTATTTTGCAGTTTGGGGCCAGGGCTGGGTTTGAACCCACCACCTCTGGTATATGGGGCCAGCCACCTACTCCTTTAAGCCACAGGAGCCGCCCTTGATTTCACCTTTTTATCTCGATGTGGTTATCAGAAAACTTACAAGTACATGGTAGGTAGTTGTGGTTTGCATTGTACTTCTACTGGGCAGCCGTGGCCTGGATTTTCCATTTTATAAGTAAGTAAACTGAGGGCACAGAGAGGGACAGACTGGCCTGCCATCACGCCATAAGTCAGGGGTCCAACCATATGTCATAAGACTGGTGCTCAACTTGCCAAATCCTGACATGAGTTCTTTGCACAGTATTGTGTGCTCCCCGCCAATGCTCGCATGCGTGCACTCACACACACGCGCACACACGCACACTCATTCTGGAGATCTGCTCCCGAGGCACGCGCACCACCCACACAGACGCTGCTTGGGAGCTGTGTTCCCATCCCTCGTTATATTTCTGAGCAGGTGTTAGCAATGTGTACAGTTAATCAAGCTCATAAGACAATAACAGATTTCAGTCAGATGGACGATGACACAGAGGAGCTGCTAATAACAGTGTGGACAGCCCAGGCTTCCCACACTCCCCCGTCAACATATTCCCCAGTCACTGTGTCCCAGGAAAATGTCACTGTGCATCTCGCCTCCTGTCTCCTGGGGGAGGGTCTGATGCAGGCAGACAGGGAGCTGTCTACATCAGGGAGCCCGGGCTGTGTAAGGCTGCTTCACCCCGCACATCACTGCTGTGTTCTTCTTCTTGCTCTTCTCTTTCCCTCCCCTTGACTAAGTACAACAGTCCTTCCTATACTGCCAAGAGCAGCTTCTTAGACTCATGATCAGTCTTCCTTCACCATTAGTCTTCCCCGCCTATATCCCTATCTTTACCTCTCTTTTCACCCACACCCCCATCTCACTCCAACATCTACCCTATCCACACTGCCATCCTCCTGCTGATCCCCATTCTCATCCCAAACCCTGTCCCCACCCTTATCCTCATCCTCAGTTTCATCCCTACCCCCATCTCCATCCTGATCTCAATCCTCATCCCACCCCCACCCTCATCTCCATTCCCATCCACATCCCCATCCCTATCCTCATCCCTATGCCCATCATCATCCTCTCAGTCCCATCCTCATCCACATCTCCACCCCTTCCCTACCTTTATCCCCATACTCATCCCCTCAGTCATCCCTATCCCCATCTTCATCCTCATTCCTATATCCATCTTCATCTGCAGCTCTATGCCTGCCCTCATCCCCATTCTCATCCACATCCCTGTCCCCATCCTCATCCCCATTCTTATCTGTATCTCTACCCCATCCCTATGCCCATCCTCATCCCAATCCTCATCCCTATCTCCATTCTCATCTCTACCCTCATCCCATAAACATCCTCATACCTATTCTCATCCCTATTCCCATCCCCATCTCCATCCTCATACCCATCCTCATTCCCATTCCCATCTCCATCTCCATCCTCATTCCTATCCTCATCCCCATTCCCATCCCCATCTCTATCCTCATCCCTATTCCCATCCCCATCTCCAT